TTTTTTTTTTTTTTTTTTTTTTTGTTATCAAAATTATTTTTAAGGATTTTTTGAGGCCATTGTTTATGACATTGCTTAGTAACCTATATAAAGAAACATCTTTCACAGACATTTTTTTAATACTATAGTCCCAGGAAAAGCAGTTGGTCCAAGTCACTAATTTAGACTTCGGGGTCCCTGGTTCTCCAAACTGCACAGTCTAAAGTGTTGTTGGGATCACTAAGTTGTCCAAATAGGACTCTGGTAGCACAGAGGTTGGGTTAATTCATTAAAGTCTGGATCTCTATGTTTAAGCTGATAGAGTCATATTAAAGCCAGGCTTGTTCAATACGGAAAATAGGAACAAGCCCAAGAAAAAAGTCAGAGGAAGGTCTCTCTACCAGAGGAAAACAACAGATGGGATATATGCACCATCACTGCAAGTCCATTTACATGAAAGTGCAAGAGCTACACACTTTTACACCTTGAATCTGGAACCCTCTTACTGAAAAGTGCTTTGCCATATGGCTTCAGATTTTACTAAAGATTATTACCAGGCATAGCCATACAAAAAATTGTTCTGAATTTACTATAAAAAATCTTGTCAAGAACATTATCTAATGTTCAATGTCTCAAACTTAAGGTCCCAGATGAGGACTTCCATTCAGGAATTTAGTTAAGGAAAATTTTGACTCCTTTTTCAACTTGGGAAGCTTGTTCATTTCAGGTAATGACATCTGGGTATTATTGAATTTTCCTTTTCTCTCCCCGTTGCCAAGAAGCTCAGAACAAAATTTGCCGCTCAATCAGAGCAATTATATAAGCCCTTAGAGTTGACATATCATTCATTTCATGGTTCTAATTTCCTCTCACTAGCTTATTAGCCTTATCATTAATACTTTTGGTAGGTCATTCCAAGTCTTTTTTGGAGAAAGGCCAAGTATATACAATATTTTGTTTGCTGTTGTCAGGCAGCAAATGAGATCTATGACTGAGGTATCGCTAAGGAGAGTCTGGGTAGGTCCGTGGGATGGGAGGTGAAGGGTCAATCCCACTCTTGAACTTAAGATGGGGATTGCACCTCACCTGGATAAACGAAGAAGCCAGCCAGGTTCTGTGACAGAGGACCAGAGAGCGCATGCCCCACAGAACAGACGCAGCTATCGCCCAGCCCCTAAGATGCAGTTGGTTTCTTGAGGCAATGCAAGCCTGGAATGCCAGACCTTACAATTTTTCAAGGAAATCTGGAATTCTAGATTTTAAGGGGAATCCTGGTTTTTGAAATGTTAGCAACTAATTCAAATTCAAACTCTGGACCTGCAGAAAAGAGAGCAGTGGCTGCCAGAGAGTTGGGGGAAGGAAAAGCAGAGTTGTTCAAAGGGGGTAAAGTTTCCGTTATACAAGGTGAGTAAGTTCTAGAGATCTGCTGTGCAATATTGTGCCTATAGTTACCATACGGTACTAGGCACTTAAAATGTTAAGATGGTAGATCTTAAGTTCTTACTGTAATAATAATAATTTTGAAGAAGCAAAGGGACACATGAAATTTCTGGAGCCCAGTACCACACCAGCCAGCCTCCCAAAGAAAAAAAGAAAGAAACTCCCGGAGGTGAGAGGTATGTTGACTGTGGTGGTTATCACAGGCGCATGCACACATCCAAACTCATCCAATTGTCCACATTAAACGCTCGCACTTCTCTGTACTCATATATCAATCATACCTCAGCGAAGCTATTTAAAAAAACATGCTGGACTAAGCCACCATCTGTGGTCCAGTCCTGAGCCTTTGGGCTTGGAGACATCTGGAAGCAGGTATCAGGAACCCAGTTACCAGGGGAACAAAGCAGAAACTTTGCCACCAGGCAGCTGATGTCATAATGGTACCAAGGGTCACACACACTTGAGAAACCCACAGTTTTGAGCTCTGTCGCACATTTTGTGAGCATGGATTAGGAGGAAGAACCCTGGACTTGAAATCTGGAAACACAGCCTTTGTCTCAGCTCTGCGACCAGCAAATCTCATACTGTAGAACCCAGTGAATTTCCCAAGGCCTCCATAGCACTCCCAGCACAGGGAGGTTAGCTAAGACATGTGAATATTCCCAATTCTTTATTTCCCAAAGTATCTTATAAGAATCCCCAAAGATATGTGTACATGAGAAAAGTTTCCACTCATTTTTCAATCATGTTCTTCTACAGAAATTTCTGATGTTGCTGCAAATACTACATGACTGGAATTTTCAAGCATGAATGAAAAAAAAATCAAGATTGAAAAACAGGACAGCAGTACTTCTAATCTCCACCAAAGGAATTTCTGATTTCACACTGTCAACAAAAACATGGTCCCAATGTGCTTTAATGCTTTGACTGTTTTTTGAAAAGGGGATAGTTATTATAATTTATAAGCAGTGACATTTGGACATACACTTTCGTTATACCTGATCTTTTTTTATAAATTAAAAAAAATAATCACAAGCTATAGACAACTGACTGTTTACAGTGTTTCCACAATATGATTACTTTAATTCTGCAATGATTGCTTCAAGTTTTTCCTTAATGGCACCACAAAACTCGCCCACCTTTTTTTCTTTCTTATAAAACTGGAAGGTTGGGACGCACATGACCTCACAGTCTCTCACCACCTCTTCACAGTCATCAGCGTCCACTTCCAGGAACACCACGTCATCGTGCTTCAAAGACAGGGAGTGAAAGAGTGGCCTGATGGTCCTGCAAGGCCCGCACCAAGTGGCCATGAAGTCCACGGCCACCAGCCTCTCCCCGGCCTCTTTAAGTGCTGCCTCAAAGTCCTCCTTTCTCAAGATCACTTTCACCATGTCCACCTCCAGGGACTGCACTGCTGCTTCTTCAGCTTTTGGGATGTCACCTCCCTTGAGCTGGACAGTTTCTTCTGGGGACTTGGGGATGTCACCCTGCTTGGGCTGGATGGATTCTTCCAGGGACTTGGAGATGTCACTCTGCTTGGGTTGGATGGTTTCTGCTGAGGACTTGGGACTGTCACCCTGCTTGGGCTGGATGGTTTCTTCCTCAGGCCTCAGGATGTTGTCTTCCTCAGGCTGAATGGTTTCTTCTGGGGTCTTGGGTCTGTCACCCTGCTTGGGCTGGATGGTTTCTTCCTCAGGCCTCAGGATGTTGTCTTCCTCAGGCTGAATGGTTTCTTCTGGGGTCTTGGGTCTGTCACCCTGCTTGGGCTGGATGGTGTTTGCTGACGACTTGGAGATGTCACCACCCTGCTGTGGGACCTCAGATTCCTCTGTGGGCATGTGGAGCTTGTTGCTGACCATGGGAACAAAATCCTTCTCCTTGTTCTGGGCTGTGTCCAAGACCTCTGGGACCAGGATAGCCACATTGCTTGACAGAATCTGTAATGGACTTTCTGAACAAAAAAGTAAGTAGATAAAATTAAAAATGCAAAAGAAGAAAAATAAAATTCTTATAGTATACTCTAAGGAAGACTGATGTCATTCTTGGAGATCACAAATGAAATTTGATGAATGATGTAATAATTTGGATAACCTCATTCAACAGCAGGCCAAGAGGCATGTGATTACGTGTACCTTTTATGGACTTTTGTTTTTACTGCGACTTTCTCTGCTTGGTTCAGCACTGCTGCCTACTCCCTAAGTGCATAGGTCCCTAAGGCACCCTTTTCCCTACCCCCTTACCTTTAATGTCACCTTCATCTGTGTCTTCTGGATTGTCTGCGTTCATTTCTGGTTCTTCTGAGGCTCCAGCTTTAACACTTTCCATTACCAGTTCCTCGTCCACATCCACTCCTGATCCTTACGGACACCTCATAGTCAAGGCGGTACCCTCCAACTTTTCCCACCCTACCCAACTTAACATCAAACTATGAGCAACAATTTATATTTGGGTACTTTACAGTCGGTTTTCCCTATCTGCGCTCACAAGGAGATATTGGAGAGCTCCACGATGGCCTTGGGTGTGGGGGCTACCCTGTGCCTGGGGCTGGGGACATGCAGCTGTCATTTCTTACAACACAACCAACCACTGAGGTGAGTGCCATTGTGACCAGCACTTTACAAATGAGAAAACTGAGCCTTAGAGAAGTCATGTAGCTTGCTCAAGGTCACACAGCTAGGATACAGGGCAGGTTCCAAAGGCCACGTGCTGAGCTATTATGCTGTGCTGTACTTTTGCCAAATGTCCTGTGCAGGCTGGTAACATGAGCCAACTTTCCTACAAACCCGCTCCAGGGTTCTCCAGTTTCTCTTTGTGACTCACCCATTGTAACCATCTCCTAAGTATCTCCTTGTGACACATCAGCTTCCTCTGCAAAGTACCACACGATGTCAATGTCCAGCTGCTGCCAGATGGCCCCTCCCCCAGCTCCACGAGCCCAACCCGCGCCATCTCTTATGCAGGCACATCCAAGGGCACTGTCCCCCCACCCTTGACGTGGAGGGGCACGGGCCCCTCATGGCTAGTCCTAGTTCCACCAGCTACGTCTACACCATCCTGTGGAGTCAGAATCCAAATACCTTTTCCGCAGGAAGACTTCTTTTACCAGCTCAGGACCATGTGCTTGTTTTATACCCTGAATCCGCACAGTACCTGCAGCCCAAAGTGTTATGTACTGATATGGAATTTTTCATTTTCTACATATGCCTTATACAAATCCTCATCTGTTTCAATTTGTATTTCAACAAATACAAGTGTCAAAATCTAGAGGGTTGTCTAAATGGTAAGACTTCCACATTGCCTATAGAAGCCTCAACATGTCTAATGGCAATGGTTCAATTATCTGGATTTTTGTAGCAAAATGCATTTCATTAAGGAGGAAAGGAGATGGGGGAGAGGCCTGCTGGCCTTAGCAAATCCGTATTTCTTGGTAACATCAATCCTATTCTGGGGAAAATCTCATGCTTTTACTGTTTCCTCAGATACTGCTGAGGAGAGCTCTGGCCTCTCTCACCGGGAAGCTTTGGGCAAAGACATACAGACCTTTCTGATGTGATGTTTTAAAGGACAGGAAGTTGTCTGCACCTTCTAATGCAAAGGGCTTCTACAGCCGATGGGCCTCTCATTCATTATGCTTTATTTTAAAGTAGAGGATGGGAATAAACGTCAGGCACTTATCTGCTCAACGTCTCCCTCCTCAGTAAATGCTAGAAGAAAGGAACCCAAACAGTGTTAAGTCCTTATGTGTAGATTACATTAGCATAAAGTGGACAGTATCTTTGGACCTTGCTCATTGGCAAATTAATTTCTCTCCTGTTCTAGTTCTGGCTGTGTGGAAGGTAGGACATTATGACACAGAGGACCTCCCTAACTGAGGGAAGAAGTGAAAATGTCACCCCTTTCACTCCGGTGGATGGGGAGGACAGAGGACAGATACGTGTGTCCCAGCCTTATCTCTCCCTGCTGACACCTAGCGCGGATGCCAGGTAGGCATGCTCAGAGGACAGCTGAAAGCAGAGGGGTGTTTGCCTTGCACTCCATCTGGAAGAGCCCACATCCAGCGTGGCATGAGCCTCAGTGCGGCCCGTGCTGCTGGGAAGCTCCGCATGGAAACCTGCACCTGGGCAGGCTCCTGGCCCCACAGCCTGCAGACATGCAGAGGTCCTGCATGCCCAGAGAGGGTCTGGGAGTGCTCCGAGATCAGAGCATGAAAGAGGCCGACAGGAAGAACAAAGAAGCCATAGTTGTAGAGCTAGAGCTGGGTCTGGAGCTCACAGACCCTCGAGCCCGTTCACAAACCCTTCACACGCAGGTCTATGAGCTAGGTAACCGGCAAAAAGGTCCTTGGAGCCTTGGCTGAAGTAGGAATAATCTTTACTCAGCACACACACGTCTAAGAGTTAGGCAGTACAAATGAGAAACTCAGAAACTCGACTGCTACCAGCAAAGTCCAAAGAAAAAAACTGAGCAGCTGCCAGCAGAGTAAACATGCTCTATTTTTATTTATTTATTTATTTTTCCTTTTTGTCTTTTTTCGTGTCCGGCAACGGATCGCAACCCTCAGTGTCACGCCCGTACTGGACCGGGACCGGCAACGGGATCGCAACCCTCGGTGTTGCTCCCACACCTCGCTTAGCCAGTGAGCGGGAACCGGTCTGTATGTGGGATCCGAACCCTCGGCGGGAGTGCCACCGCGCTCCCAAGCAGCGCACTGTAGCAGTGCGCCACCGGGCCAGCCCAACATGCTCTATTTTTACATGTGAGCTATACTGGCCAGCGCTGCTTCACACACTGAAGAACACACAATAGCAACTAACTAAATAGATACATGGGTGCACATGGGCACTAACTCCACCCACACACAACTTGTTTACAAAGAAGTGTGCTGCACCACCCCCAACCTGACCTAAGCCAAAGGAGCCTGCCTAAATTATCCTATTTCCCCCACAACAGTGAAGGAGGATTTGGGAGCACAGGCAAGGATTGGAATCACAGACCCCACCAGTGAACTACAACACAATGCTCCCACTGTAGATGGCATCAGTGAGTCCTCACAGTCCTTGGTCTGGGGACCAGGCCAGACTAGTCTACATAGTCTACTAGTTCACGTAGTCCTGTGCTCCCAGATATTGTGGAGAAAGGGGAGAAATGTGAAAGACGGAACTGCTACCACCATGAAAAAGTGCTCTTGGGCCGGCCTGGTGGTGCACTGGAGAGTGCGCCGCTTGGGAGCGTGGCGACGCTCCCACTGAGGGTTCGGATCCCATGTGGAGACCGGTTCCCGCTCACTGGCTGAGCGCAGTGCGGGCGCAGCACCGAGGGTTGCGATCCCATTGCCGGTCAGTAAAAAAGACAAAAAGGAATAAAAAAAAAAAAAAAGTGCTCTTGAAGCCGGAATTCCACAGACGGGCAAATTTAATTGGGTGCCCTGCTCCTCATCACCCTCCCCCAAACCCACTGAGATAAGGCTGGTGGGGAAAAGAGATCCATTTTAGAAAAAATGTTTAATTGCATCTGCATGTCTTAGTAAAAGTGAGGAGATCTGTGGCCTGTTACGTTTGTACTTGGAGATCTTAGCTGTGTCTTAGACTTGGCAATTGTTCCAAACCATTATTTTTACTCTTCCTTCTTGGATTCAAATGGATTCCAAGTAACATGAAATATTGATCCCTTTGAATAATTTTCACTCAACTGGTCATAAAATGTATGTTTTCCTTCAGCACAGGCTTGTCCCCAAATTGCTCATGTGCCCTTATGTCATGCAGGGTTGTGTCTCAGAAAACAGAAACAACCAGATACTTTAGAAAGAGGACAATTTAGGCAATTATAAAGTGTCAGGCAAGGCTGCCTATTCAGACTAGGTGTCTAGAACCAGAACACTGAGCAATGCTCCAGAACACCTGCCAGGGCCCTTGCCACCTCAGGATATCAAGAAGGTAGGGAATCAGAATGCCACCACTACAACTATGGCTTCCAGAACTTTCTGCCAGAGCTGCCATGTGGGGTGAGTCAGCCACAGCCTCAGCTCCTCTGGGTCAGAGCTAGAGATGAACACCGGTGTTCTGCTCCAACGTCCCCCACCCACCTCCGCAGGAAGTGGCGGAGCTGCAAACAACTCCTCAAGCAGGTTCATCTATTGGTGGAATCTAGTTTGCATCCCCAATCCTGGCTGCAAGGGAGTCAAGGCAATGTGGCTTTTTGTTCCCAGCCTCTGCAGTACAGAGAAACACACTAGAAGGACGTTGGAATAAACACAGTTGAAGTTCATTTCTACCACAGCCTTACAATGACAACATTATGGACTAGTTTTTTATACATTATGCTGGACTAAATTTTTGGCTTTATAATTATAAAACTAATACATGTTCATAATAGAAAAATTAGGAAACAGTTAAGTAAAAAGAAAATAAAAGTTGCTCATGGTGCCAATCTTCAGGGATCATCACTATAAACATTGTGATGTACATTCTTTGCCTTTTTTTTTAACATGTAGATATTTTCAAGCGAAATAGTTTTCCAAGAGAAATACTATTTTATAATCCTTTTCAGTTAATATATCTTAGTGTTCCCTCCCCACGGGGTGACTGGGCACCTATGCACAGGCTGGGGCCAGACCTTCACCCCTAGACCCTTCCCTCAATTTTCCCCTCCTTGCCCTAGAGGCTCCCTGGTTGGTGCTTGCATAGAGAACTCAGTGCTTATTTCATGATGGGCTTTTATCCCCCGAATTTTAGCTAAACTCCTTAGGCTTAACCTGTCGGTTTCAAAAATATTGGGCAGTTGCCTTTCCTGTCTACCTCCTCATCACTATAGTAACCAGTTATGTGCTCTTATTTGGAATTAACCTGATGAGTCCCTCTCCACTCAACTCCATTCATACAATCACAGATAACTATGCTAAAAATCAACAGCACAACTACCAAGAAGAGGCCATCCCAGCATTAAGAGGTACTCCCATTAAACAAAATGTTCTTTTTGCAGCCAAAAGTTTTACAATAAAAACTGAATTACGGGGCCGACCCCGTGGTGCACTCCAGAGAGTGCGGCGCTGGGAGTGCAGCGATGCTCCCGCTGCGGGTTCGGATCCTATATAGGGATGGCCGGTGCGCTCACTGGCNTTTTTTTTTTTTTTAAAGATGACCAGTAAGGGGATCATAACCCTTGACTTATGATCCGAACGCGTGGCCTTGGTGTTATCAGCACCACACTCTCCCGAGTGAGCCATGGGCAGGCCCCTACTTATAAGTGTTTGACATAATTTTGGCTATAGTTATTTTGACTATCTCTCTTATCTGGTATTAAAATGTAAAAAAAGTATAAGTTGGATT